ACCTGCCTCCACTACCACACGGCCCGCCTCCTCTTGTGCGTCTGTGTCCATATTTCCCTCCGTTTATAAGGTCACCGGTCATTGCATTAGCACCCACCCGAATTCAGCACGGCCTTGTGTTAACTGAATTTCATGTGCAAAGACCCTATTTCTGAATAAGGCCATGTTAAAGGTACCCGAAGTCAGGACTTCAGCAACTCCTTTCGGGGGACACAACTCAACCTGCATCACCACCAGACTACTGAGTCAGAGATGCCGGGAGCCTGGGAGTGCATCCACCCAAACTCTGCCCTCTCCCCGACACTCAGGCATCAGCCCTCCCACCTCGATGACCACTGGTGTCCTGTCGTTACCATCCCCATCCCCCTGCCCCCTGTGCCTTCCCAGTCCCTCAAGGTTAGAAGGCTTCAGAGCTCCCCTCCCCCTGTCTGGGCTGTGCTGCCGTCTATGCTGCTCTCTGTGTGCGTCTCTGGAGGTCACTCCGGGGGCCCAGGCTTTGTAGATGAGCAGGACCTGAAGGAAGCTCGAAACACCCTGGGGCAGCCCACCATCCACACCCCCACTTCACCTGCCCAGGAGTCGAGGAACTGACCTGCCACCAGCTGCTTCCCGGCTACGAAGCGCCTCTCAGGACACACTGATTAGACCCTGTTGATGAGGGTGCTGGTGTTGACTAGAAGGATGTTATACGACAGTGAAAACCAGTTAAATCAGCTTGGTAGAAACAGCAATGTGGAAAATACTCTGCTTTATTAGACCAGCCTGGCTCTTCTCCCAGAAAAGCATATGGGGAAGAAGATGGCTGGCTTGCTTAATTAAACCGAATGACAATATGCATATTCTAAGCTGTGTGGGGACAGGTCTTTGGAGACAGACAGACAAAGGTCTGCCCCTGGCTCTGTTACATGTTTTCTTTGTGATGCTGGCAGTGTGAGTCATTTCCTTACAGAAGATGGGTCTCTGTATGAGCGCTGCCCACCCCTGCCAGTCCTGGGCAGAGAGATGCTGGGGGCCACTCTGACCACATACTCTGTGTTCATTGCCTTGATTGACAGTCCTCAGAGATTCTCTATCTCTTCTCTGCCTCCATGCCCTCCAGTTGATCAGGAATGTCTCTCAAGAACCCTAGTGATTCTCAATGGAAGGTAGATCAGCATACTATGGTCTGCAGTGGGGTGAGGAGAGACGTGTGTTTTAAAAGCCTTCCGAGTTCTAACATCCCCCCTGGAAGAATCAGGCCCAAGCCCTTGAGCCCTGGGCCCCGTGTGAGCCGCAGTTCTGGCCTTGGACCATGCAGAGTCTCCAAACAGGTGGAGAGGTGACCTCAGCTCCTGGCCCCTAGGGCCGCACTACCAACATGGTTGGTGGACTCTATGCTCTGTGCTTGGCTTAGCTGCTGTGGTGTCCTCAGTGCCCGGGACCGTGTCCCAGACCAGCTTGGTCAAGATCTTTCCAACCATGGAAGAAGGAAGAAGGGTAGTCCCTAGGATAAACGATACATTTCTCCCCAGAGCCTAAATGAAGACTGGCTAAGAGTCCATCCTCAGGCCTTCTGAGAGGAGAACTTAGAACTGTGTTTCCATGCAGTGAAAGTGCAATCTAGTCCTTCAGGATTTCTCCCCTTTTGTAATCTGGCCCAGTAAAGACCTTCGAGAGGAATGGGTTTCAAATGTCTCCTAGGGTTACCCATCCTGAGAGCAAGACTTAGACATCTCTGAGGTGCCAACCAGCATTTGACAGCCTGAGGACTTGACTGTTCCTCCAGCTCTGGGGGCCCTGCCCCACCTGGGATGACGTCTGCTGGTTGACAGGAGCCGTGTAAGCAGAGGGACATCTGACCTCTTCTCTGAGGAGACAGAGGACACCAGAGACGGCCTGGGTGGTCAGAGGGTGGGGGTGAGAATTAGATGGGTACGGGATGAATTGAGTGTGGAAATGACAGTGGAGTGTTCTGGTCTTTCAAGAAGGTGGTGAATGAGGTATCACCTCACACCAGTCAGAATGGCCATCATCAAAAAGAACACAAATAACAAGTGTTGGGGAGGATGTGGAGAAAAGGGAACCCCTGTACACTGTTGGTGGGAATGTAAATTGGTGCAGCCACTGTGGAAACTAGTATGGAGGTTTATCAAAAACTAAAAACAGAATTACCATATGACCCAGCAATCCTACTCCTGAGTATATATCTGAAAAAAAAACCCATTCATTTGAAAAGGTACATGCACTGCATGCTCATAACAGTATTATTTACAATTGCCAAGATGTAGAGGCAATCTAAGTGTCCATCAACAGATGACTGGATAAAGAAACTGTGGTATATGTAATGGAATACTCTTCAGCCATAAGAAAGAATGAAATTTTGTCATTTGCAGCAACATGGATGGACTTGGAGGGTGTTATGCTGCATGAAATATGTCAGACTGAGAAAGACAAATACTGTATGATATGACTTATGTGCTGAATCTTAAAAAATACTAGTGAATATAACACAAAAGAAGCAGACTCACAGATGCAGAGAACAAACGTGGTCACCAATAGGGAGAGGGAAGCGGGGAGGAGCAATATATGGGTAGGGGATTAAGAGGTACAAACTATTAGGTATAAAATAAGCCACAAAGATGTATTGTACAACATGGGGAATAGAACCAATATTTTATAATAACCGTAAGTGGGGTGTAACCTATAAAAATTGTGAGTCACTATACTGTACACCTATAACTTCTATAACATTACTGTGCATCAACTATACTTCAGTAAAAAGTAAAAAAAATTGGTGGTGAAAAGCATAGAACTTGGCATCAGATTGATCTTAGCATTGCTACCTCCTAGCTGTGTAAACTAAGTTATTTTATCATACTAAGCCGTAGTTTCCTCATCTGTGTAACAGTAATAATATCAACATCTACCAAGTAGACTTGCTATAAGTGCCTGGTACCTAGGAAGCGCTCAATAAGTGTGAGGAGGAGGATGACAGTGGCGGTGATGGTGGTGATGATGGTGATTTAGGGTCAAAATCTCTTCCTGTAGGTGATCTCTCTACTTGGATGCTTTTGTGATTCATGAAAAATAGTAACTCTGGTTAAGTTTAGATAGTTTAAACCAAGTGTTAATTAACAAATACCCGTTTATCATTGCTGTCTTGTGTTCAGGTTATCCAATTGTCCTTGAAGAAAATACTCTGTGTATCGACCTAATGCCACTTCTCTTTCTTAGACACTGCAGTTTTGTGCCTGCACGTTAATAACCTTGGTATTTCCCTCATTTCCAAGGAAAACTTTTTTGGAGGGGGGAAGCTTTTGATACATTAAGAGACTCTATGGGAATTGTTAAATAACGTAACCTATTAACTTGAAAAAAATTAGTATTAAGGCAGAAAAACCTTTAGCTGTGAAACCCAAACAATAAGTATATGAAGGAATTTCTTAGTTATGTTAACTGGAGTGATGGGCTTAGCACCATCTTAGGGCTGTTAAAGATACAGGGCTTGACATTACACG